TCTTGAACTCCTGACCTCGTGATCCACCCACCTCAGCCTCCCAAAGTGCTGGGATTCCAGGCATGAGCAACCACGCCCAGCCCCACTGGAGAAGGAGTGGGGCTTTAGAGCAGGGAAGGGTCTTCCCACCCAGGATCACTGGTTATCTGCATTTCTCCGACCGACTGAGGTGAAACAGGCCCATCTCCGTTGGTCTTGTTTTCAGTTTTGCAATGGCCTGTGAAGTCCCTGACCACTGTGTGTGGCCACCCCGCGGCCATCTGCATGCACTCGAGCCCTGTCTACAGGCACGGTCTTAGAGCACCTGTGCCCACACACTCTGCACCCCTTCTTTTATTTTATTTTATTTTTTTTGAGATGGAGTCTCACTCTGTCACCCAGGCTGGAGTGCAGTGGTGCGATCTCAGCTCACTGCAAGCTCTGCCTCCTGGGTTCACGCCATTCTCCTGCCTCAGCCTCCCGAGTACCTGGGACCACAGGCGCCGCCACCACGCCCGGCTGATTTTTTGTATTTTTAGTAGAAATGGGGTTTCACCGTGTTAGCCAGGATGGTCTCGATCTCCTGACCTCGTGATCCACCTGCCTTGGCCTCCCAAAGTGCTGGGATTACAGGCGTGAGCCACCGCGCCCGGCCACTCTGCACCCCTTCTCACGATGCAGGGATTCTGTCTGCCTCACAGGGGCATGCCCCATCCTACAAAAGACTCCGAACGCAGAGCCTTTTCCTGGGACGGGGGCGTGTCATGGTCTGGTCCTGTGCTGTGTGTGCGGCTGTGCATGATGGTCCGAGATGCCAGGGGAGGGGTGTGGAGGCAGCTCGGGGGTGGGGCCCAGACATTGAGTCAAGGGAGCACCACCCAGCCACGCCAGCCTGGCCCCAGTTTTCTGAGCCAACTCTTGGAGCCCAGTGTCCTCATGCAGTCCAGGGACAATGGTCTGAGCTTCCCTGCTGTGTGGACACCCCTCCATGCTGTGCTGCGTTCAGGCTGTCTACAGATGGGGGCCGCAGAGCTATGAAGCTTTGGGGGCTCAGGGCCGCTGGGCCAGACCCTCTACCAGGCCCCATAGAATCAGCAGAGCCCTTTGGTGGCCAGAGGAGCCCGCAGCCCTGGAGCAGCTCCTGGGTGCCACACAACCCCTCCTGTGGTGTGGGGAGCGACTTGTGAGGCTGGCCCACTAGCAACGAGGGGCCAGGGGGACTGATGCCTCGGGGTGAAGGAGGGTGCAGATGTGGGCAGGGGTGAGGGGCCCAGCCAACTTCCTCCTCCTGCGGCCCTACAGGAGTGCACCTGCCCATCCTGGACCAGTTGAAGCTGAACGGCAGCCACCTGGGCTCCCTCAGGTGAGCGCCTGGGTGGGGTGGGCTGGGGTCCTGCCATGAGGGGGTCCCATGGGGCAGGCCCTGCAGGGATGGCGGGAGAACTTGGTGGGAGTAGGGGGACTTGGGCTGGGACAAGGGACCCAGGGGTCTAGAGAACTCCATCCTACTGGCTGCCTGACTGTGAGTGACCCTGTGGAGGGTGGATGGGCAGTTGGGGGGAGCCTGGGACATTCAGGCAGGTGTGAAGGGGTCTCTGAGAGGGTCTTTGTTGAAAGGACGAGGTCCTGGGCCAGCCTGACTTCCAGGGGTCCTGCCTATGCCCTGCAGCCTCTTGCTCAGCCCGGATGCACCCCCCTTGCCGCGTGACCCCTGCACATGGATCTCTTGTGTCTATAATGGGTGGGAGCCCCCTGCAGCAGGTATCACCTCACTCAGAGCTGGGGCCAGGGTCAGGGCAGTCATGCCAGGTCGTGTGGTAAACTCCCCGAAAGTGCCCCTGGCCTGGGCCCAGAGCCCCCACTGTGAGGTGTCCCTGGTGAACACCCAAAGCCAACCAAGGACTGGGGGCCAGGTCCCCGCACCGCTCATTGCAGCCCAGGACTTTGGCTGCACCATGCGGCCACCAGCTTGGGGTCTGGGCAAGAACAGCAACCACCAGCCAGAACCTGCACATAGAACCCAGACCAGATGGCAGCCGCTGGGAGAAGCTCCAGCCAGAACCTGTGCACAGAACCCGGATCGGCCCCCAAGAGAAGCACCGGAAGCTCCGTGCCCCGCAGCAACTCACAGCATTCGGAGCTGAAGACCTCGGCAGCTCTCACGTCATCGGAAGGGAAAGAACAAGGCTGAAGGAACATCCAACTTTATTCTGGGGGTTTGGGCAAAGTGGGTTTTGTGAAAATGCTGCTGGTTTTATGTAACCTGTTCCCAGCAGCATAAGGCAGGGGAATTCCAGGGAGAATTCTAGAACATTCTCCAGCTGTGTGAACTGGGCTCCAAGGGCCACATCTCGTTATTTCCAGATGAGAAACAAATATCAAAATGGGCTGGGCGCGGTGTCTCACGCCTGTAATCCAGAAATTTGGGAGGCTGAGGTGGGCAGATCACCTGAGGTCAGTAGTTCGAGACCAGCCTGGCCAACATAGAGAAATCCTATCTCTACTAAAATACAAAATTAGCTGTGCATGGTGGCGCATGCCTGTAATCCCAGCTACTCGGGAGGCTGAGGCAGGAGAATCGCTTGAACCCGAGAGGCAGATGCTGCAGTGAGCCAAGATCGTGCCACTGCACTCCTGCCTGGGCAACAGAGTGAAACTCTGCCTCAAAAAAATAAAGTAGGCCGGGCGCGGTGGCTCAAGCCTGTAATCCCAGCACTTTGGGAGGCCGAGACGGGCGGATCACGAGGTCAGGAGATCGAGACCATCCTGACTAACACGGTGAAACCCCATCTCTACTAAAAATACAAAAAATTAGCCGGGCGAGGTGACGGGCACCGGTAGCCCCAGCTACTCAGGAGGCTGAGGCAGGAGAATGGTGTGAACCCGGGAGGTGGAGCTTGCAGTGAGCCGAGATAACGCCACTGCACTCCAGCCTGGGTGACAGAGCAAGACTCCATCCCCCCAAAAAAAAGTAAAATAAAATAAATATCAAAAGGAATTTAATAAAATACATGAAAATCTGGAAATGGAAGAAAATTGGAAAACACTTAGGGGGCAGACACGGTGGGCAGCCCACAGAGCGCGGTGTCTCACGCCTGTAATCCAGAAATTTGGGAGGCTGAGGTGGGCAGATCACCTGAGGTCAGTAGTTCGAGACCAGCCTGGCCAACATAGAGAAATCCTATCTCTACTAAAATACAAAATTAGCTGTGCATGGTGGCGCATGCCTGTAATCCCAGCTACTCGGGAGGCTGAGGCAGGAGAACCACTTGAACCTGGGAAGTAGAGCTTGCAGTGAGCCAAGATCGCGCCACTGTACTCCAGCCTGGGTGACAGAGTGAGACTCTATCTAAAAAAAAAAATAAATATCAAAAGGAATTTAATAAAATACATGAAAATCTGGAAATGGAAGAAAATTGGAAAACACTTAGGGGGCAGACACGGTGGGCAGCCCACAGACTGGAACAGAGAGGCCTGGACATGAAGCCAGGCACCAGACGACACCACAAACGAGAAACTAGAACTGGAGCAGAGGGGCCTGGACATGAAGGCAGGCCTGCAGCAGGCACCAGACGACACCACAAACGAGAAACTAGAACTGGAACAGAGAGGGGCCTGGACATGAAGCCAGGCCTACAGCAGGCACCAGACGACGCCACAAACGAGAAACTAGGATGGGTTTGGAAAATGGACTTCTTAGAAACATGTCCCCCAGCTAGGCGCGGTGGCTCACGCCTGTAATCCCAACATTTTGGGAGACTGAGGCAGGCAGATCACTTGAGGTCAGGAGTTCAAGACCTGCCTGGCTAACATGGTGAAAACCCGTCTCTACTAAAAATACGAAAAATAGCTGGGCATGGTGGCGTATGCCTGTAATCCCAGCTACTCGGGAGGCTGAGTGGGGCCCAGACATTGAGTCAAGGGAGCACCACCCAGCCACGCCAGCCTGGCCCCAGTTTTCTGAGCCAACTCTTGGAGCCCAGTGTCCTCGTGCAGTCCAGGGACAATGGTCTGAGCTTCCCTGCTGTGTGGACACCCCTCCATGCTGTGCTGCGTTCAGGCTGTCTACAGATGGGGGCCGCAGAG